GAAAGAAGGAGCTTAAAGGCATAGAAAGAAGAAGAACAGGGCCAGTAAAGTGAATTTGAAAAGGTTATGGTGTGTATCTCTGTGTGTCAAGGACAGGACACTGCAATAGCCCTCCAGTATTGCCACTAGAACTCGCTGGTGAAATTACCTGCTATGAAACTCAGTTAACTTTTCATTACTCTTTATGTGACATGCTTTTATATAAGATATTTATACTGTATGAAAACTAAGAAAGACAAACTTTATTAATAGATTTAATTTTTTGTTATTTAGTGGCCTTGTGAAGCTGTGGAGTGCTCTAACGTTGCTGGGCTCCTACCAGAATAGGAGGTGTGCCTTTCGGGTGCTGCAGGTAAAGCTCTGCGGGGCAGGATGGCTTCCCCAAATGTTTGTGCCCCCTGTAAGGTTGTCTGGCTGAGTACACTGCCTCTTCCTAGAAACATGGCCTGGATGCAAAACCACTTTGGTTTGGGAGTGAGATGCTTTTCAGTGCAGGTGTGCAAGCCTGCAGCTGAGCAGTCCTCATAATGAATCTTGTACAATGTGACGGTAGTGGCTGTCTTGGTATTTTCTGGTTTCATTCCAATGAAGACTCCTGATCTCATTAACACACCTGCAGGAAAATTATTCTGGGAAGTTTTGTTCTTGGCCCACACCTTGGTCTGATCTTTTAATTTCCCTGCCCCATTTCTTCCCTTTCTAATAGCCACTGTTGACTGACCTCGTGTAAAGATGCACACATGGACATGCACTTCCAGAACTCTTTTTTTCCTGAGGTTGCTGCTTAATAAAATGAGTTCTAAGAATTCTTTGTCTCTGAAGCCATGGCTGAACAAAACTCTGCTCGGGCTTAGCTCTTAAGTTTTTAATCTTTTGTTTTTAAAAGGGAAATGTAAGTATTTTCAACTTTGCATTCAGGGGTGGGTTTTTTTAATATTTCCCTGCCCCATTTCTTCCCTTTCTAATAGCCACTGTTGACTGACCTCGTGTAAAGATGCACACATGGACATGCACTTCCAGAACTCTTTTTTTCCTGAGGTTGCTGCTTAATAAAATGAGTTCTAAGAATTCTTTGTCTCTGAAGCCATGGCTGAACAAAACTCTGCTCGGGCTTAGCTCTAAGTTTTTAATCTTTTGTTTTTAAAAGGGAAATGTAAATATTTTCAACTTTGCGTTCAGGGGTGGGTTTTTTAATGCTTTAGTTTGTTTCTTGCTTTGTTTTTTCTTCTTTCCCCCAAACCAGACCTCTCCATTCCTCCTTGCGTTATCTGGCAACAGCAGAGAGCTGGTCCTGGACTGAACACGGTTGTTGGTGTGGTTGTACGAAGCAGAAGTTGCTGGAGATGTTGCAGCCCTTCAGGTGGGGTATTTCTGGTGGGGATTTCAGACAAAGAGCCTTGACAAAGCTCACGGTTCTCAGCTCCCTGCTTGGACCTCCCGTGCTTCAGAGATTACACATAAAAGTCGGAGACAAAGCCGAACTTACCAGAGCTTTTACACACAATGATGTTGTTACTTTTTCCGATTTAACAGGTGACACAAATCCTTTGCATTTAAATGAAGATTTTGCAAAGAAATCTAGGTTTGGGAGAACTGTTGTACATGGAGTTTTGATCAATGGACTTATTTCTGCAGTTCTGGGTACTAAAATGCCCGGTCAAGGCTGTATATTTCTTTCTCAGGAGATCCGATTTCCAGCTCCTTTGTATACTGGTGAAGAAGTCGTAGCTGCAGCAGAAGTTAAGCGACTGAAGGGTTCTGTAGCACACATTTCGGTATCGTGTAAGGTCAGAGAAAGTGGGAAGACTGTTATGGAGGGGATGGTGAAAGTCATGGTGTCGGACAGAGAGAGCTGCTGATCCTGTGCTGCTTTACTGTAAAGGCCAGAACTGTACACTTGGTTTAACTCTTGTTGTTTTATGTGACATCTCTTAATCCAGCAGCAAATTCGCAACGAAAACCCTTCAGAATGTGTCAAAGCGTGCAACCTTAATCTTGATAGAACTGCATTAAACTTGGAGCTTTTCGTTTTTCCCTGTGCGCTGCCAAGATTAAACCCCCAGAACCGCGTGACGGAAGCGGTGTGTTTAGACTCTGCTGCAGCGGGAAGCCTGGAGTGGCGGGGCTTACACTGAGCCCGTTCTTTTCGGCAAAATTTCAGTCCCCACTGGCGAAGTTCAGTTAAAACTTGTTCCCTTTTTACAAAGCAGTTGTGTTGCCAGCAAGCACCGGATGGAGGGGACAACGCTGCGTCTCGCAAACAGAAGTGGAAGTAGTGACACGTGTGTGCTGCAAGAGCTGCTGTGATCTCCACGGCCGATGTTGGTGCACTCTGCTCTTTCACAACGTTTTAGGTTGTAACACCTTCCCTGGCTCTGCACATAAGCAGCCTTTGCATAAACAGCGTGCTCTGCCTGATGTAGCTGGAGATGCGGCTCCCGCAGCGCTTTCAAATTCTTTAGATACCTTACGAAAGCTGATTATAAACAAACAGAAAAGTTACCTTGAATGAGAAATGCTTCTGAAACTCGCCTCAGAAGTGGAGTGAAAGGAGGCTTTTAAAAAGCCATGTTGTCGCTGCTTGTACTCGCTGCTCCTTACACTCCCGTGGGTCAGAAAAGTGGGGGCAGTTTTGTGGAGTGCCCGACTATGGCTTCTCTCTGCTCGTTTGTCTGTGTGAACGTGTGTTCCCCTATGCCCACTGAAAGTACTTTGCTGATAAAGTAGGTTTTTGGTAAATTAATTAGTAAATCATGTGGGTTAAATTATTTTAGTACTGACGTAAGGTTACTATACACCAAGAAACTTTTTCAAGAATGATGGGGAGTGAAAGTACTGGGTGTCTTCAATTGGTGGCTCATATAATTTTCTGGCAAAACATCTGTGATCCCCCCATCTTCTCGGCAGCAGAAATGCCTTCCTAACTTTCCTCGGCTGCAAATAACCTCAGGAGTTGTTTGCTAGGAAATGAGAGTTTGTCCTCAAGCTGTGATGAGAGCCACTGGTGAAACATTTACACCGCCTGGGTGCGATGTCTTGTTCTTCAATGCAGCTGCAAACCGCAGGTGGATCAGAGGGAGGGGCAGTGTTTAAGCTGTTTTTCACTGTGCCCTCCATTTTCAAAGCAGGGTTTGGGCTTTTTCACACTTCTGGGTGGAAGCTGTCACGTTGATGCCAGCCGGATCTGTCTGACCTGGGTCAGCGCAGGAGTGGTTTGGAAACATCACTGTTCCAGTTTACCACAGTCCTGCCAACGTAGAGCTGCAAGACAGGAGCCTGGATATGAGAGCTGTTTGCAGACTCAGCTCTGCAGCTGGACTTGAAACAGCTTCGGTGAGACCCAGCCCTGGGGACAGTGTGAAGAGACAAAGGCAAATGCAGACAAGTGTTTGGGCAGCAGTATTGAAATAAAAGTTTTCTATGCTGCTACAGTGTAAGTTGGTTGTGGAGCTCAATTTAACAACAACTTTAAATCTCTGTTTTGCCCCAAAACCTAAAAAAACACCTATAAATTGAGCAGGAGCTATTGGAATTTTTTAAAAATGATCATTTAACTATTAAAAAAAGCCCTAAAAGCTACAGCTCAGCAAGTGCGCCAACCTTTCGAAGTTTCTTTCTGCGAGGACCAGCGGTGCCTCGGGGCTGATCCCGTTCCCGCAGCCCTCCGTGCCACCGGAGCGGCGCGGAGCACCGGGCGTGGCAGTTTTGGGTAGCGGAGCGACTTCTCCCCTGCCGAGCACCGAGCATTGGCGCCCCCGGCCCC